TTAATCTCCAGGTAGTTAAGATTTAACTGACAAATAGTTTTTTTTATTTATCCTTAGTCATTAATCAAAAAATAAAAAATCATTCATGAACCTTTCAAAGAGCCCAAATACAACTCTTACTTGACTAAATAAGGTTAACACAAGAGCTACAATTGCAGCTTAATAGTCGCTATAGAGCTGTATAGAGCTTTATCAATTTCCACTTCCAATGATTAAAGCCTCTCTTTAGTCTTATAGGACCATCACTGTTGGGCACAAAATCCTACAGTCATGGTTTAAAAAAAATAAACTAGATACTAGGGCTTGATTCATGTATTTTTTTTTTTTCAGATAAGTGATATCGGCGAAATCTGACTAGGTTTTTATATTAAAGATGAATAAAATCCTTGTATAGGGTATACTTCTTTTATCACAATAGGGTTAGCTTCAAATCAATAAGAATAGATGTGGACTCTGAGAGGAACTCCCAATAATAGTCATAACAGTTTGCATAGTAACAAATTAACTAATTACAAAATAGTTACTGCAAAGGAACTATTTGGGCAAGCAGAACTAAAGGACAATCTAAACTTTGGCTTTATCAGTAAGCTTATTGGAAAAGTGATGTTTTAACAGTGAAATTTCTTCCTGACCATAATCAGCACCTTTTGTCGCTTACAGTCCGGTTTTCATGCTCCAGTACCAAGCCTACATTTGTACAGCTTACAACAGTGAAATTAGCATTTACCATTTTAAAGTGCAGCAGCGATCAACATATGAACAGTGTAGGAGAAAAGTAAAACTATTTTTGAAAAAATAATGGTGCAAAAGAGCATTAATATGGAGAGGTTTATTGCAGTGCATAATAAATATGGTGCAAAATACAGTAGAACATTGAGTTGTGTCCTCTTTAAAAGGAACATAAAAGTTTCAGCCATGTTGGTGGTGCACAATAAAGTTACATGGGTGATGTAGAGTCCTGTTTAGAGTTAAACAGTTCAACAGTCTGATGGCAAAGTAGAAAAATCTGCTGCAGAACCTATTGGACCTGCAGCGGATGCTGCAAAGCCTCTTCCCAGAGGGCAGCAGGGAGAACAGTCCATGGTGGGGGTGTGAGGGATCATTGATGATAATGGGGCTGGTGAGAATGTTCTCTGGTACTATGGTTCACTTATTTGAACCCTTCTGGAAGGACAGTGACATTGTTGTGTGATTAGATAACATTAAAATGGTAGGCACAAAAATCATATGTAGGGTTACCCAAGGATTTGTCTTCGGGCCCCTGCTATTCAATGGCTATATGTTCACTCTGGCTAGGATAACAACAAACAACAATAAAGGAGTTACCATTACTATGCAAATCACAAACAAATATACATTACAGTGTCACCATTGTAACCTAAAAATTACTTTCCCTTAAAAAGTAAAGGTTTTTGGACCAAATAAGGATTCATTAAAAGTTTCCTCACTGCTTTAGTTAGTTCAGCTAGAAACCATCAACCAGACCCAAAGTCTGAGGTGATAGGCATAGAGGTGAATCTTTAGAGTTTACAGGAAGACAGTCACAAAGTTGGGCTTATGTCAACAAAAGAACATTTTTAGGACTAAAGACTAATCTTGTTGTAGTATTTTTTTTTTGACTGACCTATCTTTTGTTGATTGATCACTGCAGCTTCAAAAAAATCGGTCCAGCCGCTGCAGTTGATGCAGAATTTTGCTGCCCTCATCCTGCTCCCAGTCCTTACACTGGCTCTGTATATCTCAAAGAGTAGAATTCAAAATACTTCTGTTGATCAATAAATCACAGGGAGGCTAAGCACCAAAAAGCATTACAGACCTGTTGTCAGCTGTCGGTGAATCAAACACCCAAACCTGGCTTAAATCTACTCTGCATATCCAAACTCAGAAACAAACATGGAGAACCAGTGTTTATTTCTTATGCTCCTCTTATCTTAAACTAACTCTCATAAAAGCACTAAAATTAATGTTTATCAAACTGAAACATTAAGAGATGATTTTGTTGTCCAACTTTTTTCTAACCTGTCTCTTATGCCAATGCAATGTAATTTATCCTATGTTTTTCTTCTCCTATGTTCTATTAATGTAAAGCATTTTGAATTGTCTATCTTCTGAAATGTGTTGTGGGCTAAAAAAATAAACTTGCCTACATGTATGGTTCTATCATTTAGGCATTATGGTTACTACTGATTATTTTTTTGTAAATGTATATATGTTAAAGATAAATACTGGGCTTTAATAAACAAAGATTTGTTCAGTAATATTCCTTTATTAATTTAGTTTTAGTCAAAACATGTTTTTTTTTTTTATTCTAATGGCTTTCAGAATTAGGCTATAATTAAATTAAGTCCACGGATATTTCTTGGAAATATTCTGTCCAAACCTTTTTTTTATGCTTTGGATCTCATTCACTTTCAATGCTCTTCTGTTTTTCTTTTTTATAGACAGTAACTTCATCCTGGCCAATGCTCAGATGTCAAAGGGCTTTCCCATTGTCTACTGCTCTGATGGCTTCTGTGAACTCACAGGCTTTTCTCGGACAGAGGTCATGCAAAAGAGCTGTGCCTGTAAGTTTCTGTATGGGCCTGAGACCAGTGAAAGCATCATCCTGAGCATTGACGAGGCCTTGGAAGAGCGCAAGGAGTTTAAAGATGAGATCATGTTCTACTCAAAGACAGGTAAAATTTGTTTTATTTAATTGTATTTTCACTCTTTGTTTTTAATTCTGTCTCCTTTGCCTTTAAGAAGTATTCCAAACCACTAACTCCAGCAGGGTTATCCTTTTAGGATGTTACAGAAAAAGACAAACACAACTAAGACAGTTGTAGCACATTTTGAAAAGAATTACTTCACAATATCAGCGTTAGTTCTTACTTGTATTTTTTTCTGACACCATAATGGTGGTTGTAAAGGTAGTGTTGTAGTAAAGACCACACTAAACGAGACACAGACATGTAGAGGCCGAGACCAAAACCATATATGGTCTCTGTACTCCTTGGACTAGGTTGGTGTGGTCTTGAGTTGAACACTGGTTAAAGCTTGTTAAAGAGAAAAATTTCAAAATTATTATTTATTAATCTTCTCTGCTCCACCCTCCCCTTAATATGCAAACTATCAGGTTGGCCCAGTCTGTTGTACTGATCCACCTGCAGCCATGGGTTCAGCTTCACTGCTGACCCCAGAAACACTACTGTGTTTTATGGACTACAGAATAAAAACAAAAAAAAAAAACAATCGGATCTTGTTCAGAAATCTTCTGAACATCCCTACGGTCACTTCTCCCAGCCTCCAAAGGTTGCACCCTCTGTCTGCTGGCTGTAGTGAAGGTGTTCACCTGTATATAAGTGCTTCTCACACTGTGATCCAAGGTTACTTAAAGAGGGTAATGAATTTAATGACATTAACTGTAAACACTACATGCCCTAATCTTGGTTTGGGGCAGTTGGTCTCATTGGCGCACCATTGGATTATACGTAAGGGAAATATTGAACCTAGATATGGGTTAGGTTTTGGCTCTAACTCAGAGTCCTCCAACAGAAAGGTTTCTCACATATATGTAATTACAAAAAAAAGGTTTGACAACTGAAACTCTTTTGTTCTTAAATTCAACAGTTAAGAACAAAAAAAAAAGGTACAATTAAATGGCTGTCAGAGGCTCGAAACCTTGGATCCAATATTCAAAACAGACAGATCTGAATGAGTTCAAAAGGCTTTATTTACTAACGGCGTGCAGCTGCTCGTCAGCAGGGGAGGATAAACCAGATTTTCTGTAGAAAAAGAAACTCAGGTCAGTGAATAAGAATAAAGGGCTGATGACTACTAAAGCAATAGTCACTGACCTGGTTAAGAGTTCAGGCCGATCACAGAGGGATGTGATGAATCCGAGAAGGAGACAGTCCTCCGCTTGTTTCGGGCGCCGCACCGAGGAGCAACAGTGTCCAGAAGGGAATATCCAAAGCCGAAGTCGTAGAAGAGCCAAGTACATGGACCAGAAGATCAAAGAGCCGATGAGGTACAGAAGGAGAATCCAAGCCGAGGTCAGAAGCACAGTCCAGGTTCGGTAAGCTAGCAGGAATCCAGGAGTCAGTCCAGAACAGAGCAGAAGAACAGAGCAGACAGCGGTTAAGTAAAACTCAGAATCCACAGAGCAGAAACAGGTCACAATCTGATAATCAGAACAAAGATCAGAGAGCTAGAGCTATTCACACCGAAACGCTCAATTAATCTGACACCAAGGGGTTGGAACCGGTGGAATAAATAGCAGAAGAAACAGGTGATTCAGATAAGAGATAATTAGGCTGGGGTGGAGCAAACCAGATGAGAGGAGGAAGAGTAAAACCCAGCCTATGGTGCCAAGATTATGACAATGGAAGAAATTGAAAACATTTTCAAAATTCAGATGGGTTATACTTCCGTAATATCCCTAATACTTTATGCAATCCAACTGAAAATATGTAAAACATTGTGATTTTGTGTTATGCTGTGTTGATTTGATCTTAGACCAAAATGCAGATAGATTTGTCCTGAGATAAGCATGCAGAATGGTTTAAAAATAACATAAAAAGTGTACAAAAGATACAGGAATAAAGAACAGGAAATAAGGTGTAAACTGGGCAACAGACGGAAAACTATAGTCAAGACCATACCAACCGAGACCAAAGAGTTCTGAGACCAAGACAAGGCCTTAAATGGTCTTGTTCTCTGCCTCTTAATGTCTTGGGCTTGTCTCTGTACTCCTTGTTCTTGGTTGGCTGGGTCTGGACTAAAACAATACCTTTACCACCGCTGTTATGGTGTCAAAAAATATGGCCTTGTTTTTGTCTTGACCTTGTTTTGGTCTAAAAGTCTTGTTCTGGACCTTTAGACCAAACACTGAATAACAATTGAATATGAATACATAATTTAGAAGTAGAGGAAAGACGTAGAAGAGAAACAGGGGAGACTGAAGGAGTGAGACTAATTAATCACAGTTAAAAGACTAACAAGCCCTGCGACAGACTGGCAACCTGTCCAGGATGTATCCTGCCTCTCGACCGTAGAGTGCCGGAGATAGGCACCGCGACCCTGACGAGGACTAAGCAAGAAAAAATGCATGGATGGAAAGGACTAACAAAGCATAAATAACCAAATCTGAATACATAAAAATAATACAAAAATGAACCAAGAAACTAAACACAGAGAAATGAATTATTATTGGAAAACCATTCTACCAATAGTGAAGGTAAGGCAGCACTTTTAGAACATACTGTAACTAAAAAACAAGAGAATTACTATAACCCATACAACGTGAGGCTATTGAACTAAAAGTAATTGAAAATGTTATTATTTCTTAACAGATAACAATATCATGTTTTAGTAGAATTTTGCAAATACATTTTATGGATGAATGATAAATAGTTTTCTTTCTATTGACAGCATTTCTCTTAAAAATCTTAGCTCATTAAATAAAGTCCCATTACCTTTATATTTATTATGTGAACTTTTGCCTATTTTCAACAAGATCTTTACATTGTGTTTGAGTCTTAAATATCTGAGAATCTCTCTATTATCCTTTTTTATTGAAGCTTATTGTAATTAATTGGACTGTATTTTTTATGTACAGTGTTGTTTTGCATTTATAATGTCGTGTAGCTACTAAAGAAGTCAAACCAAAACATTTCAAAAAAGGAAGGTGCCAAAGCTTTTGTTTTATTCCTGCCTTTCTGCAATCAGGGTTGGTGGTTGGACTGGTAATCAGTTACCTAACTCTGTCCAGATCTGATGTAAATGAACATTTGCTGAACAGTGACTGAGGTTGGTTCGGGTCTGGTTGCAACAGTTTCCCTCTGACACAAGCAGATTTTTGCACCAAGTCCCTGATCACAAGAGCAGACTGACACAGACTTTTTCCATCTGTGAATCAGGGGTACAATCGAGCATGAAATCATGTCATCCCAGCTTTAGTGAGCCTGCAGCAAAATGACACACAAAACACACTGAAAATTGTAGTCTGTATATGTGTTATCAGTCAATGCTTTATAGAACCTTTTCTTCAGTCTCAAGTGTTTTGCAGCTTGTAAGAGTTTTTCAAGTATTTTTCAGATTTTCCTGCTTTTAGCTTTATCCATCTTTCTCTCGTCTCACCAATTTCCTTGTCTATGGTAAATGACTCTTAAGGCATTATTATGCCACTACCATGTTTTATTGTGAGAATAGTGAGATCAGGGTTATCTGCAGGGCTAACTCGCACAAAAAAAAAAAAAAA